AAAGGCTTTCAGTTTTTCTCGATATAGTAAACAATGATTAACTTTGAAGAAAATGTGAAGACTTTTGAATAAAATTTACTTTAACAGTATAGGTATAAATTTATTGTCTAGCTATATTCTTAGCTCAAGTTTTCCCAGATTAATTGTACTAATTACTTTGCAAAATACTAACATTTAACAGTAAAAATATTAAAAAGGGAAAAGAAAAAATCTTATTTGTAGAATAATGCTAATTAAATATTTAGAAGAAATGGTAAAAATAGAAATATCACCATTTAATAATCATCTTAATAAAAACTGACTAAGGAAAAATTCATTAGTCAATGTGAAGAAACTAGATTATAGGTGCAAAGATATTCAAAAAGCCTGGAATTATTGCCCCACAAATTATCAATTAATGACAAAAGGAACACAAATAATTTTATAATAAAAGTAGTTTGTGAATACTACCTTAATATCACCAATTATGGAGCCATTAGAAAATTACCATTAGCTATTTATTCTTGTTAAAGATGATATTTTATTGCAATAGAGTGATGACTTTTTCTCTCTAAATAATTGCTATATGTATATGTCTCTGTGTGTGTGTATATATATATACACATGAAATGAGATGATATAAAAAGGGAACCTATTTTCAACCCAAATAAGTATTTTTTTCTTCAACACTAAATATAGCTTGTTAAAAATAAACATCTGTCAAGTAACTTTTTTCTTTTTATAAGATTGTTTATTTCTATTAGTAAAGAAATATTGAAAGTCATTTCATAAATTAATAGAATGATTTAGACTTTATATATATATATTTTTTAATTATTATACTTTAAGTTCTAGGGTACATGTGCATAACGTGCAGGTTTGTTACATATGTATACTTGTGCCATGTTAAAATTTTAGAAAAAGGTAATATGTTATTATATAATATATAGATATTTACCAAATAGATAAACATTCATTGAGAATGTGTGTGGTTTACAAAAGTCTCTGAAATTTTCATTTCTAAACACATTCTTTGTGAGGTTTGAATTCTCAGTTCTCTGGAGTTGATGTCGCTCTAAAATGATATAACAATGGAAATTTTATTAATATATATTTTTAATGAGAAACTAATATTTAGAAGGCAAATGTTGAATAAACGTTTTTATATTCAAAGTTTATAATCTAGTAGATTGATTCAGAAAAACACCCCAAACTTATAATGAAGACCAAAGTTAATCAAAAGCTATTTTCTCCCTATTGCTTCACTAAAGTATAGTTTCTGCTTTTACTATAAAAGCCCAATTCCTTATATGAGGAGATGGTGCTTAATCTTAGATTATGGTTTGAAGCAGAATGACAAAGCAATATCAATAGTTTGCTCATTTGTGTTGTGGAGTAGTATTCGATTATATGAATATATGACAAGTTGGTTATCAGCTCGACTTTTAATGGAAATTTAGATTGCTTGTTTTCATTTATTATGAATAAAGTCACTATGAACAATCATGTAAAAAGTTTTCAACTTTTTGTAACCAGTTGATGGGGGGGGAAGTTGAGTTCAAATACCTCTGCCCAGTGACACAGCATGGAAACATCAATAACAAATAGAGGGAGAATGTTGACATTTCTCTAATAATAAAGTTAAATCATATTTTCATAGCAGGAGTTACAACACATTTTATGAACTGATAGAAAAATATTTCTCTATGTCACAGAGATTTTACAAGGCAGTGCATCTAAGGCTGAGAGTTTCACTTTAATGTTTGTCAATGTGCTATTTAATTTTTATCTAATTCCCAAAATATCAGGAAGAATATGAGCTATCATGCTGACAAGGATATTTTTGAAGAGTTGGGATTTGGGATGTCCTTCCCCATCCTGAAATGTTCTGTGCATTTGAAGTCTCAAGTGCTGTCTAGTACTGCTATATGGCACAGTATGTTTTTTGGAATGTATATTTCAGATAGGCTGACAAATATTACTGACAGCAGAGACCTAAAGCTTAGGACAAGATAAAGCCATGTGTGTAAGGGATAAATTTCATGAAAAGAGAGCAAAGATTTATAGCCAGCTATTTGTAAAAATGATGCCTTAGGAAGGAAAGGAGGGGATACTTGTCAATATGGTGGACTGAACTAATGAGGGTAGGTCCTAGACACTGAAAAATTCAAAAACTCCAGGAATCATGTTTTAATATGTATGATTAGGCTCAAAAGAAATGACAACAGAATCAATTCTAAGGTACAAATAAAAAGAGGGTAAAGCAGAATTTAGATCAAAATATTTTGATTTGTTTTAAAATGATGGCCATGCCATAGACCTTCACATTTAGCTAGAGGGAGATGAAACTGAGTATCTTGCACAAAATCATTACTGAGGAAATGCTAACTCTGCTTCTAAATGAGACTCAATTTTTACCCCAATGTCTTGGATATGAAGTAAGGAAGCAGGAGGCTTATAAGGATATGACTATGCTTAAATTGCCAATAAGTTATAGAAACTACAAATCAAAAATTATTTTTTGAATGGTCTGAATTTAGACAATCCATATGGGTTACAAAACATAAATGTTTTATAGGAAAGTTTGCATATGAGGTCTTTCAAATATGACAGAAAACAACTTCCATGGTATATAGTAAAGAGCTGACAAATAACTAAAGATAATAGAGAACTGTGAAAGAGACTTTAAAATAAGCATATATAAAGTGGTCACACTGAAAAATGAAGTAGAACCTGAAAGGAAAAAATACATTTAAAATGGGCATATTAAGAACTAGAAATTCTATATACATGAAAATATAGTCATTGAGTTAGACAAAATACTAACAAATAGACAAACCAAACTAGTTATGATAATTATTTTAAGATGGAAAAAAATGAACTGGAAGTAAGGTGGAAAACCTGAAGAAAGAAAAGCAAGTTTTTGAATTGAGGCTTGGCAACAGAGATAATCACATGTAATGTTTTAGTCTATTTGTATATTCTTTTTGTGGACTGTGTAGTCAATTTAGAACAGTTCTAAAATGTTTTTCTCCTGTGATTTTATTTTCCTTAATTATTTGCACCACTTCCAAAACTGTACATTTGACAAATGTATGCATTGCTACTGTGGTCACCAAAATTGCAGGGGCATCAAGGAAAGTGAGCCTGTCTACCTTGAAATTGTTACTGTTGTCTTTAAAGAGGTATCATCATCTCTTTGAGGGTTCTCTCAAAGTGTTTGCTTTGAATGCAGTAACTCATCCCAGAGATAGAAACAGAGAATAAGAACATGTAACTCAAAACAGCATGTCTGGAGTGGCGTCAGACGAATCCTGCAATTCCAATACATTTTATAAGATGATGACTTTAGAATAGAAGAATAGGGAAAGGAATTTTGGCTACAGTATCATATGAATCCCATTTTTAAAAAAGTTATAGAGTTGTATGGAAGTTTAACGATGGAATGCTCATGTAAGCATGAGTTCCTATGGATATTTTATTTTTAGCATTTGACATAAACATTGAAGAATGTGTAAAATGTTGACAAAAAGAGATAAAAATAATCTTATGCAAAAAAAGAAATGCCACAAGCAATGTCACATAATCTGACTTGGAAAGAGGGAACGGTGTTCTTTACTGGATACTGAAAGAAAAAATGGGGTGTTAAACTAGAAAAGTGGGAAGTGTAATGTGGAGATACTATAAGACAGTTTGAAATAAGGAGTGAATATTAGAAGAGAAATCTAAGAAACAGATAAAAATTAAAAGTTGATCACGGAATACAGAATAAGGAAAACAGCCAATTAGACCTACAGTTTGTAAAAATAAGGAGAACAAAAATTGTGATAAAGAGGAATTTAAAAACAGACTCATTGATGAATTAAAAGAGAACAGATATTCAAGGTATGAGAGGTTATTGTCAAATGCTGAGATATTTTATTGAAAAGGAGTGAAAGTGGGAAAGGAGTTTAGTGGAATGTATTAAAGCAAAAGGACATTATTGAAATTAATCTTTGGATGCCTATTGTTGATCTTTAATAGAGTGCTTTTTGAAGTGATAGTGGAATTTTCAGTTATTAAAGTTAAAACGGTGTGCCAATTGTCATCTAAAAATACATTCCCCGAGTCTTTTTGGGAACATGGCTGCATCTAGCTGCTGTCGAGTCTAGAAAATGTCATTTTTAATGTATTCATGCCACTGTATTTTGAGTCTTCTTATATTGCAACCTAAACTTGATTCTAACTAAAGCAGATATTAGTATCACTAGAGGGTTGGTCCTGTGAAAGAAACTGAAAATACGTGACATTAGAATAGTGCTCAGACAGTATAGGCAGGTAAGGTTGAAAAGCTGGTGACCCTTGTTATGCCATTATAGTTGATAAATTTTCGTCTTTGAAAAGGTAACTAAGCCACATTTTGTTAAGCAAATCAGGTGACTATTGAGCCTATATTTTCGAGGAAATAATTACAAAGATCCATAATGTTAACTATATGTTGCCTGTTTCTTGTTGCTTTATGCAAATTACTACAATAAAGAACCTCAGATGAGATCTGACTTACTTTCAAAACAAAATGAAAGGTGAAGTCCAAAAATATGGGGCTTTGCAGGGTGGCAATATCCAAATCATCTTTTTTTTACTCCCCCCAAACTGAAAGACAAAAATGTCAGTCTAAAAACATGTATTGATACTTCTGATTAAGATTTCTAATCCATAAAGGTATCTAAGTTTGTAGCAAACCTCAGATTTGGAGTATTGTCTTTCACTCCCATGTATTGTGTCAGAGACCTTCAAGTTGCCTCAATCAAAATAAGTTAGAAATAGGCACAGACGAGAAAATCACAAGTCAGGCTTAGGAAGTATGTCCATAAAATAACACTGTGATTTTTTTTTCCTGGCATATTAGTACTGAGGGGAAGCAAATAGGCCATGGGTCTAAAAATTTTTGAGAGAGCAATTACAAAGAAATCACAAGATTGACCTAAAAATTTTGGTTGTTTATCTCTAAAACTATTCTCAGGCTCCCAGAACTGCGCCTGCAAAAAGTAGTTTGTGTAAGTATGCAACCTCCAAGGAGAATATAGATTCATTCTTCAGATGTAGCCACAGAAGCTGATGAACACAATCATGAACCTCCCAGAAGGCAGAGACATGTGCCATGGAAGACAGAGGAGGAGATCATTTTTCTCACAGCTCAGAATCTGAATCTACCCAATACTCAACTTTCTACAGTCTGCCTTTATTAGTTCTTCCCAAAAAGACATCATCATTATGTGTGAACTGACTTGTTTCCCATTCTGTTTTCTCAATGAATTCTTTTTAACTACAGTAATTTTGTTTCTCTTCCACTCTCATATATTATTTTCATTAGCAACTTCAGACCCAGGCAAGAAGGGGTGCTGCTTTGGACTGCATATTTTGTCAAACTCAATTCGATCCTTCCCCAGCCTAACCCCAGTTTTCAAGGTAAGAATTGCGTAGGCCAAAGGGCAGTGATGCCTTTGTCTAGTTGAAGAATAGGCTCCACTTCTGGGCCATGCTTTGAATGTCTAATAGTCCACAGAGCCCTGCTCAAATAGACCCTAATTGGCTTCCAGGTATTTTACAGACCTTCTACCCATGTCATCCTCCTGAAAGTTGCTGGCCTTAACTTAAACCCAAGAACTGGCTAAGGGCAGCAATGTAGTCTGGCTTGCAGACTGGGGTGTCACCCGATTAATCATAAGGGAAGGAAGTGAAGAGAAGAGAGGGTCATGGTTACAAATTCAGAGCTAGGGTTATCTTTCCTCGTGTTTTCATGTATTCTAGGATGTAAAAACAAGAATCTGAGGATTCTGAATTTGTCAACATAAGTGAATAGAATGTATTATATTTAACAGTCTAATTTGTTTGGTTTATATATTTTTAATTTTATTTATTTATTTATTTTTTGAGAAGCTGGATTGCAGTGGCACAACCTGGGCTCAGTGTAACTTTCATCTCCCAGGTTCTAGAGATCCTCCCACCTCAGCGTCTTGAGTAGCTGGAACTACAGGAACGTGCCACCATGCCTGGCTAATTTTTTATTTTTTTTTGGTCAAGACGGGGTTTCACTATGTGGCTCAGGCTGGTCTCAAACTCCAGTACTCCAGGGATCCTCCTGCCTAGGCCTCCCAAAGTGCTGGGATTACAGGCATGAGCCACTGCACCCGGGCTGTTTGTAATTATTTAATATTGTTTGTCTTAGCCATATATCAAGTTGTTTATAAGCAACATAAATTTATTTCACACAGTTCTGTAAGTTGGAAAATCCACAATTAAAGTGTCAGCAGATTTGATGTCTGGGGAGGGCCCGCTTTCCCATAATGACACCCTCTCACTCTGTCTTCACAGGGTGAAAGGGGTTAGCTAGCTTTTTGAGGTCTTTTTGTAAGGGCACTAATCCCCTTCACAGAGGCTCTGCCCTCCTCATGTAGTCACCTCCCAAAGGCCCCACCTCCTAATAGCATCACATTAAGGATTAGGTTTTAATGTATGATTTTTGGAGGGACACAAACATTGTCCCGAGGGACACAAACATTTTGGAGGGACATATCATTGCATAGATATAGGATATGTAAGACTACATTTGTAGTATTTTTCTTGTCCCCATAAATATTGTCACATACCTGAATATGTCTATATAAAGTGAGGTTGGATATAGAGGACAGATTTTTTTCTATTAGTTTATAAGTTGCCAGAATACAGGATCTGTTACAGAACCTAATAGAGAGGGATGCCCATTAACCACAGATTCTGAGATTTGTGCTGGAAGAGGTAATAGGATAGGACCTTGGGCTTTGTCCTTTGGAGGAAGAATGAGTTCACTTTGTTGGAAGCAGAGTGTACACTGATAAATGGTTGCCATAGGATGGACTCTGGCAGCCTACCAGTTATTCCCTTCCAATCCTTTCCCCTCTCTTTTTCTGGGCAGGTGACTACAGAGCTGTGAACGATTTCTGTTGTCGTCACACGTATCAGCCATGTGAGGCTGTGTAGTAAGTTCTCACCAATGGAATATGAACAAAGTAATGTGTTCATTCGGTTAAAAGGAGATTTCTTCCTCTGGTCTTGCTCACTTTTCCCTTCCTGCAGACTGAAGTGTAGATATGCTAGAGGTGCAGCATCAGTCATGCTGATGAAGACAACATCCATGGGATTGATGGAGGAAGAAAATGCACTCAATAAAAATTCACAGAGAAAAGCTGCCTTACGTGCATGAGACAAACTTCACTCTTTAAGCGATTGTATTTTTCCCCCAGCAGTTTAGCCTTTAGTCTAAGAAAACTGCTTAGAAAAATACGGCCTTATTGTTACCTATTTAAAGTGGGCAAATGAGTTATTATGGGCAAATGAAGTTATTATGATAAGCACAAACTACTTGTCTATCTTTCATTAGAGTAGCTATGGGACAGAATGTATAGACAGAACTCAGTTATAATGTCATTTTTTTTCATATAACTCCTCATGCTTAAGAAGTAAGATATTAGAATTCTAGGAAGAGTCAGATTTATGTAGTCATTTGGAACCTTATGAATATCTTCTTCAACTTTCAGAAAATATTACATATATATATACACACAATAGTTTATAGAAAATTTAGTATAGTGTCTAATATAGGGTTTATAGTACATAGTATACAGATTATACAGAGTATAGAAACTATATAGCATATAGAGCATTTACAGTAATACTGTATATTACTCTTCATGTATTCATTAATTTTAATATCTATTTCAATTTACTTTTCACACATTCGCAACATTTATGTTTTCTAGAAGTATTTTGAAGTTTCCATTTTTACAATTCACAGAATAATAAAATTGCCCAGTTGTTTTAAAATTAGGTAGAAAATAGTAACTTATAAGAAACTACCTAGAAGCAAGCACATCATTAACTTTATGAATGTATAAATGAGTTTTTCATTTGCTAGAAGCCAATGAGATACATACTTGGTGTCTAATTTGTCAAGCATTACTTTTTGAAAATATGAAGCAGAGACATCTTCTAAATCTGAGTCATAGACCAAGTCTCAGTCTCTATGTACATAATATATAATATACTATATATATATGTGTGTGTATATATATGAGCGTGTATATATATATATATCACACCCATACACACACACGCACACACACTGTTAGGATCAGTTGGTTTATATGTTTTTAAGTCATGTATTTTTTAACTGAAATTCTGCCTAGATGTTCTATCCATTATTGAAAGTGGGGTATTCAAGTCTCCATCTATTAATGTAGAACTATCTATTCTTACCTTCAAGTTTGTCAGTACTTGCTTCATATTATTTTAGGACTATGTTGTTTTGAGAATATATGTTTATAATTACATCTTCTTAATGAATTGACACTTTTTAAAATATACACCTCCCTCTTCCTCATATACCAGTTATAAATTTACTTTGATATTACCACCGTAGCTTTCTTTTTGGTTGATATTGGTATGGAATATCTTTTTCTATCCTTTAATTTCCAATCTGAGTCTTTAGATCTAATGTGAGTCTCTTGAAGTTGTGTAGTTTTTGGAATTCACTCTATTTTGCCTTTTGATTGAAGAGTTTGATACATTTCTTTTTCAAGTAATTATTGATTTAAAAAGGACTTCTGCCATTTTGCTGTTTTTTTTCTATATATATTACCTTTTCTGTTTGATTTTAGTTGAGTTTGCAAATAGGGCGCTACTTAATTCCCTTCCCTCATTTTTTGTGTATTATTTTGTGGATATTTTCTCTGTGTTTATTATAGGTATAATATTCAAGATCCTGTATTTATCACAATGTACTTTGAATTAAAGTCAACATCCCCAGCATGCAAATACCCTACTCCTATGTAACTTCACTCCCTTTTATGTTGTTTCTCTTATAAGTTACACATTTCTACATTTTATGCTCAGAATTATAATGATTTTTATATAATTAGTTATTTTGATATTGTTTCTGCTAGAAATTATTTCAGAAAGTTATAAATAAAAAATACAGTAATATTGGCTTTTATATTTAATTATACATTTCGATAATTTCAAGTATTCTACAGTTTTGTTCTCAAACTATATTTTCTGCTTGCTCAAATCTTCTGTCTTTTAAAATGTCTATTATAATTTTAGCTCCAGAATTTATGTTTAGTTCTTTTTGGAATTTCTTTCTTACATTCTATTTTGCTTGTACATCATTTTCATGATTTCTTTTAGTTCTTTGTTTTTACTTTTATGTTTTTCTGTGAGGACAGTTATGTACCACATAATGATATTTCAGTCAATGGGAAACCAACCACATTTATGATTGTCCTCCCATAGGATTATAATATTGTATTTTGACTGTACCTTTTCTATGTTTATACATGTTTAGATACACAATACTTATCACTGTGTTACAGTTGCCTACAATATTTAGTATAGTAACATTCGGTACAAGTTTCTAGCCTAGGAGCAATAGGCTACACCATATAGTCTAGACATGTAGTATGTTATACCATCTAGCTTTGCGTGAATACAATCTGATGTTTGCACATTGACAAAATTGTCTAATAATGCATTTCTTAAGACATATTCCCGCTGGTAAGGAACATATAACTGTATATTTAAAACCTTTTCTAGTAAATCCAATGTCTGGACTTCCTCAGGGACAGTTTCTGTCAATTTATTTTGTTCTGTTACATGGGCCATATCTTCCTATTTGTCAGCCTTGTGATTTTTGTAGAAACCTGGATATTTGGATATTACTATGTGGTAACTTGGAGATTCTCTCCTGTCCTCAAAGTTTATTATTTTCTGGTTGAGACTGTAGTAGACGTCTGTTTAATTACTTTCTAACGTATTTTTTCAGACTGAATAGTCTTTTCTCGTGTAATAACTGACATGTCTGTTCTTTAGCTTGTGTTCAGCTATTGTATTGGCATTTTTTCTTTTGTTTTTATTACTAGGGTCTAAAACAAACAAGCAAACAAAAAATGCCTCTCCCAGTATTTGAGATTAGCTCTGTGCGATAAACAGACGTTTAGCCAGACTTGCGTTAAGTCTATTGATCGGCCTGAGATAAAAGCTTTGGGTCTTGTTGAGCATGTGTCTTGCCCTGGACATATATGTGGCTTTCTTAATTGCCTTGTATGCATGGACGCTTTTGAATGTCTTAAATTTTCAAAGAAACTCTCCCCTAGCTGTTCCTCCTCAGCCTTAGGTAGTTTATTACATGTCTAGAACATAATATTTTGTCCAGGCATTTTTGATTTATTAGATCATCTTGTAGTTTTTTGTTTGTTTGAGATGGAGTTTCACTCTTGTTGCCCAGCCTGGAGTGCAATGGTGCCATCTTGGCTTACCACAACCTCTGCCTCCCAGGTTCATGTGATCCTCCTGCCTCATCCTCCCAAGTAGCTGGGATTACAGGCATGCACCACCACACCTGGCTAATTTTGTGTTTTTAGTAGAGACGCGGTTTCTCCATGTTGGTCAGACTGATCTCAAACTCCCGACCTCAGGTGATCCGCCCACCTCGGCCTCCCAAAGTGCTGGGATTACAGGAGTGAGCCACCATGCATGGCCCATCTTGTGGTTATTTTGAATGATGCTTTCATTCTTTTTCCAGCCTGAATTCTTAATTAAGTGAAAGATTGCTGAGCACCTTGTCTCCATCCTTCAAGTAGTCTTCAAAGAGTTTATAGCAGGCATGCACAATAATTTGCAAATGAGGTTTGTTCTTCTCTCTTCAGTCCCAGGACCCGAGGTCCTACATTGGGAGCATAAGGTACCTTCAAGACTGTTACCATGCTGTGAAGGGGGTGGAACAAGGGAAAGCAAAAATATCACAAATATTTTTATTTTTTATATCAGCTATCTTTTTCTTGAGTCAGCATTTGCTTTGTTGCTTTGTTGCAGCATTTCTTGCTGTAAACCTGGAACTAATTTTTAGAAATTCTAATGAAGTTGTATCTGACTGGTTATGCTTATTTTTCAATGTTTTTGTGGAGAGATGATAGTTAAATCTGGCCATTCCATTTTGCTGAGGTCATCCTATCTCTAAATATGCCTCCCTAATCCTATTACAGGAGATTGCAAGAGGACAACTTGGCTCTAAAATCGATGCATGAACATGCCATTGGAATTGACCTCGCCAAAAGATGCCTCCCTAAATCCACAAGAACCTCCTTGTTTGAACACAGGTAGGCACTTAGAATTTTGTGATATATTTTTGACCCACAGGTTATTTAGAAGTGTTTTGTTTAATTTGAATATATTTGTGAATTTCCAGGGGCCTTTTTTTGTTGATGATTCTGATTTTATTCCATTTTGTTTGGAGTACATTCCTGATTGACCTCTACTGCTTTACATTTACTCATTCTGTTTAAGGCTTGGCATTTGATCTATTCTGGAAAATGTACCATGAGCACTTGGGAAGAATGTGTACTCTGTTGTTGTTGAGTCAAGTGTTCAATGCATATTTATTAGGTCTTGTTGATTGTTAACTTTACTACTGCCTTGTTAGTTTTCTTCATAGTTGCTCTAACCGTTATTAAACGAAGGACATTGAAGTCTCCAATTATTGTGGAAATGTCTTTTCTCCCCTGAGTTCTGTCAGTTTTGCTTAGTGTACTGTTATCGCTTTTTAGGTACATATATATTCATAATTCTAATGTGTTTCTAATGAGTTGATTATTGTGTGATTATCAAATATCCCTCTTTTTCTTTTGGTAACTGTTTTGGTGTTACTTTATTTGATATTGGTATAGCCACCAGATTTCTTGTGTTGCCAACAAGAAGTATTATATTCCATTATTTTACTTTCGATTTTTTGTATGTTTAAATCTAAAATGTGTTTTGTATAGAAAACATATAGTTGGAACTGTTTAAAAATTTAATTTGACAATTTCAGCCTTTTGGTTGGATTTTTAATTTGTTCACATTTAATATCATTGCTGATAAGGTTTGGGATACTGACATATGCAATTTTGCTGTTTGTTTTTTTGTATGTCTCAAGTTATCTTTTTTACTGCTTTTGCATTGAGCATACATTTTCTATTGTAATGTTTAAATTTATTTAATACCTTACTCTTTTTTTAAAAACCATTTTCTTAGTGATTTCTCTAGGGTTTACTCTTTACAGATTAACAGAATCTACTTTATATTAATACTAACATAATCATCATGAGATATAGAAATGTTATTTCAGTATAGCTCTATACCTTCTTCCATTTTTGTGCTATTATTGTTTTATGCATTACATTTATGTATGTAAAAAATCCAAATCTGCATTTTATTATTATTGCTGTACATGCATTCATCTTTTAAAGAAGCTGAATAAAAAAGAATAAATATATACTTTAAAATTTTCATATTAACTTTTTTATCATTTCTGATTCTATTCATTAGCTTCTGTAGATTTAAGTTGATGCTATTGATTCAAGTTACAGTCTAGTACAATTTTGTTACACCCCATTTAAGTTTTCTCCTACCCGCCTCTTTTATTCTATTATCTGATATATTTTTAAATGCTGTAAGTCCAATGATACAATTTCATGCATATTATTTTATACACTTGCTTTTAAAATCACTTATTAAGATAAAGGACAGGAAATATGTATATATATTTCACATATACAGAGTATATATTTCACATATACAGAATATATATTTCACATATACAGTATATATTTCACATATATATGTGTATATTTCACATATATACAGAATACATATTTCATATATACAGAATATGTATTTCATATATATACAGAATATGTATTTCATATATATGGTATATATAAGATATATACACAGTATATATAATATATACGGTATATATAATATATACAGTATATATACTGTATTTTATAATTACATAAATACTTCAATCAGTTCTCTTTGTTTTTCTGTTTTTTGTTTTTAGATTTGGATTATCATACAAGGTTACTTGCTTTCAACCTGAATAGCTTACTGTTATACATTGTAAAGCAATTTTCCAAGTAACACATTTGCTCAGTTATATTTGGGTAATGATTTTACCATTGTTTTTAATAGATACATTTGCTGGAAAACAATTCTTGGTTGACAGTGTTTATGATTTCATAGCCTCTCTGCATTCTGGCTTCTTTATTATTATTTTTTTTAATGAGTTGTCAACTGTTAGTGGAATCCCCTCAAAGGTAACAAGTCATTCGTTTTTTTCCAACTCCTTTAAAGATAGACCTCTTTGTCTTTTAATAAACTTTTATAATATGTCTGTGTGTGAGTATCTTTGGATTTATCCTGCTTAGAGTTTATGGAGCTTCCTGGGTGTATAGATTTTTTTTTCATCAAATTTCAAATGATTTCTGACATTTAAAATTATTTTCTTTTGTTAGTTTCTCTTTTAGGTACTCACACTAGTACACTAGTGTCCTTAATGTTGTCCTACGTTTCCCTGAGGTCTGTTTATTTTTGTTAATTAATGAATCTTAATTTGCTCATTATTTCTCCTGGTTTTTATTACATAATTTCTATACATCTTTAAGTTTTTTTTAATTATTATTATTTCTTTTTTACCAGCTGAAATCTTCTCTTACGACACTCTAGTAAATTTTTAACTTGGATTGTATGTTTTCATTTCCAGATTTCAATTTGATTTTTAAAAAGTAATTTATATCTTAATAGTCTGTGACATTGTCATTTTACTTCTGTAAGCATGAATTCTTCTAGTTTTTACAAATATTTTTAATAGTCCATTAATGTCTTTGTCTATTAAGTTTCATATGTTGGCTTTCTCAGGAGTCACTTCTAATTTTTTTTCCTGTTCATGTGGTAAATATTGCTGTTTACTTGCAAGGCTTATACCACTTGCTTAAAACTTGACATTATAAGTAATATATTCTAGACATTATGGATGCTCACCATCACTCCTTTGCCAAGTCTAGCTTTTGTCGTGGTTTACTTATGTGGTTGTTTAGTGGATGAGATGGACTAATTTTAATGTCCATGGGAACAGTAGCTATAATATCTTATATTTTTCTAATATTAGTAAATATTGTGGTTTTTTTTGGTCTTAGTCTGACTACTGGTTGATTGATGCTGTTGATCATTTCAATAAACCAGCTTTTGGTTGTGTTGATTTTCTTTATTGTTTTTCAATTTTTGATTTCATTGATTTTTGCTTTTTGTTATTTTTTACTACTTCTTGTTTGCATTTTAAATTGGTATTTTCAGTGCCCTAATTTAGATTACCAAGTTTTACAAGTTTTTAATTTTGTAATTATGGAGTTAATATGACACACTGCCTTCTAAGCACCGATTTTTGTTGCATCACACAAACTTTAATGAGTTGTATTTTTATTTACATTCACTTCAAAAGTTTTAATTAAAAAATATTTTTTACCCATTTGTTACTTATAATTGAGTTGATTAATCTACAAATATATGTGGGTTTTCCACCTATACTTCTCTTATTGATTTTCAATTTAATACCACTGTGGTTTAATAACATATTTTGAATGATTTTTTTTCTTTCAATTTTTAAAATAAAATTTATGGCCCAGAATGTGGTCTAATTTGGTGGATGTTTTATATGAGTTTGAGTAAAATGTGTATTTATTTGTTTTTTGTTGGATGGAAGTTTCCATAAATGTCATATACATTAGATGGCTTTATAATGCCATTTATGTCAACTTCATCCTTCTTACAGCTATTTTGAAAACTACAACTATAATAGTGGATTTGTTTACTTATGTCTTACCTTCTCTTAATTATGTGTTGTGCATTTTACCACTGTAGCTAGGTGTATACACATTTAGAATTATATCTTCTTGGAGAATTGACACTTTTATTATTATGTTGCAACTCTGTTTATCTCTAATTGTCCTGCTCTAAAGTCTGCAATGTCAAAATTAATGTAGTGACTCCAGCTTCCTTTGTTCAGTTTTAGCATGGTAAATGTTTCTTCATTTATTTCAAAACCATCTGACCCTTCATATTAAAAAGTATTTTTACAAATAGACATATTATTAGGTAATTTTTTATTCATTATAATAATCTCTATTCTTCAGTTGCTGCATTTAGACTGTTCACATATAAATTTATAAATTATGTAGATGGATTAATAACAGTCATATTTATTATACTTTCTATACCTTTTCAGAGGCATATAGTTATGAATTCTTTGATTTTATTTGTGTGTTTTGTATAGCTTCGTTTTACTTTTTCCTTTAGTATATCAGCTACACATTTTTAAAAAAATTTATGTTGGTTTGCTCTAGTGTTTACAATTTTTTTAACGAATCTAATTCAACTCTTAAGTAACACTACTTGTCTTTGTATGTAGTTTGTGTGTCTTATAATGGAGAGTTCCAAGTTCCTTCCTCCTGTCTCCCATGATATTGCACTCATCCATGTTTTATCCATGTGCTATCATCACATGGATAATCACATATTTCAACTTAATACTTTTAAAAACAGTTATTAAGATCAATAAGAATAAGAAAAAATATTTTCCTTAATCTTCATTTATTCTCTGATATATTTTTCTTCCTGTGAAACCTTTTCTTACATCATTTCCTCATGCCTCATGTCTGTGGACATATTTTACAAATCAAGTTTGCTAGAAAATTCCTTCAGTGTTTGCTTGTCTAAGAAATCATTTATTTCTTTTTCACTTTTGAAAGTTAGTTTAGCTGGACGTAGAATTTTGAATTTTATTTTTCTTTTTGCTTTCTCCTTCTATTTTTCTCTTTTATTTCAAGTCTACATGTTTGCTCAGCTTTCTGCTGGCTTGTATTGTTTCTGACAAAACATCAGCACTAAAGCTTATCTTTATCCCTTCAAAGGTAAAGTATTCTCACCTTGTGCTAGTATCTTTCAAAATTTTATTTTTGTCTTTTTTTCTGAAGTTTGAATATGCTATGAATAGGAATAGTATTTTTTGATACATATTCTGGTTTGATTTCTCTGTGCTTCCTGGAACTGTGGTTTGGTGTCTGTCATCAATTTTGAAGAGGAGTTCTCACCCATGAGCGTTTTGCATATTTTTTTCTGCTTTGTTCTGTCTTCTCATTCTGGTGTTCACTTTTGACATTATACACTTTTTAAAGGTTTGTTTCAGTTTGATTGACACGTAGAATTGTGCATATTTATGGGTACAATGTGATGTTTTGATATATGCTTACATTGTGTATTAATCAAATGAAGGTGAATAGAA